AACACAAATTTGGAGGCATTACAATACCAGATTTCAAGACATACTACAGGGCAGCTTTAATCAAAACAGCCTTGTACTAGCACAAAAATAGACATGTTATACAATGCAATGGAATAAAAACCCCAGAAATTAATCCACTCATCTACAACCAATTGATCTTTAACAAAGGAGCTAAAGTCAATCCCTGGAGAAAGGACAGCCTCTTCAACAAATGGTACTGGGAAAATTTGATCTACATATGCAGAAATATGATAAGATCCTATCTTATATATCCTACCTTATACAATTCTACCATATACAAAAATCAACTCACAATGGATCAAGGATCTAAGTCTACAATCTGCTACCATCAAATTACTAGAGGAAAATATAGAGGAAACTGCGTTAAGACATCAGCACAATAAATGACTTCTTGGAAAAGACCCCAGAGGCACAGGCAGTAAAACCAAAAATAGACAAATGGGATTAAATCTAGTTAAGAAGCTTCTACACTGCCACACTGCAATAGAAACAGTCAACAAGGTGAAGAGGCAACTGACAGAATGAGAGAAAATATTTGCAAACCATGCAACTGACAAAGGATAAATATCCATCATATATAAAAAGCTCAAGAAACTCAACAACAATAAAACAAAAAATTAAGAAATGGACAACGGACATGAACAGGCATTTTTCAAAGAGTGAAATTCTAAAGCCAACACACATGAAAAAAAATGATCAGAATCACCAGACATCAGGGAAATGCAAGTAAACACCACAATGAGGTTTTAATTCACTCAAATTAGAATGGATATCATCCAAAAATCAAAACACAATAAATGCTGGTAATTATGTGGGGGGAAATGTAAAGTAGCATAACCATTAGAGAATACAGTATGGATTTTCCTCAGAAATCTGAAAACAGATCTACCATATGACCCAGCCACCTCACTCCTGGAAGTTTACCCAAACAATGAAATTAGCATATGAAAGACCTATCTGTATACCCATGTTAAATTCTGCTCAATTCACAATAGCTAAGATATGGAATCAAACCAGATGTCCGTAACTGTTGACTGGATTAAAAAAAAATGTGGTATATATACACTGTGGAATACTACTCAGCCATAAAAAGACTGAAATCCTGTCTCTTGCAAGAAAATGGATTCAACTAGAAGCCATTATGCTTAGTAAAATAAGCCATTCTCAAAAAGGCAAATATTATATGTTTTCACTGATATGTGACAATTAATAAAGAATACTAAAAATGTATAGGAATGAAATGGGCATCTTGTGATATGATTGTCATTTTTAGCCCTTGTTAATACTCCTATGGAATTGTGGTCTTCCTACTTTTTACTTGTTGAATATTATGGTTAGTGGTGAATTAAGCCTGTGATTATAGAGTGGGTTAAAATTATGTCTTTGCAATAATTAATGAAAATAAAAGTGGGAAGGGAAAGAGGGAGATTGAGGGGGGAGGGGAAGGGAGGGAAGTATGGTTATCTTTTTAGTACTGTACCTATAAAATACATGAAATATATTCTGTTTTTATTAATAAAAATAAAATAAAAGCAATGAAAAACTGTAAAGTCCAACTACTTAAAATGTATAAAGCCAAGAGAATCTGAAGTTGAGATGCATTTGTTATAACCTTTCATACCTATCCCTTGTGACAGGTGACCTTTTTGAAGCTGGAAACAGTCTCAGTAGTTAGAGATTAGATATTTATTCACAGCCATGTAGGAAATATCCACTGTTTCTAAGTGAAACTGTAATAGAAAGATGATATGCTTTTAAGAAACTAAAGGTGGATAAGGCAAAGGATGAAGATGTCAATAAGGTGCTCAAGGTCTGAGAGTGAAATCTACCTTAGATAGCAAAAATCTCTGAGAGGCTAAGCAGTTGATGTTCTTAGCATTCTCAGGGCCAAACAATCATTAGTGCCTTGGCAGGATATAAAAGTTAAGTTGAGCAAAATCAAGGATGAGTAGATAGATGGTAGATGTAGCAATTTCTTTCACATTCTCTAGAAGGCCGAGCAAAGTAGTGACTATATCTGTACTTAGGCTGTACATAATTTTGTTCAGAAACCTTTGGCCAGAAAGTTGTTGGACTCAGGAATATAAATGGCACCTGCTTGCATTTTGAGCCAGATGAGTCAGGTCTAAGTAACATCTTTCATTCTAAGTTTAATCAGGCCAATCATGTAAGGACTAACTGAATGCAGAAAAATGTAGCATATGTCTCTCAGATATGAGCAGTTCATAGAATTAGGTAAAGGATGTAAATAACCCAGTACCAATCTTAAGTTAATACATCTATTATGAACGTACCTTGAAGAAGAGAAACAAAATTTACTTTTAAGCATTTGCAGAAATTTACACAAACACAAATAAAACATATTTAATGGTGTCAGATTTCCCCCAAGCTATCATACTGAAGTCATAAAATAAAATGCTGTAAAATAGTGTTGGAAAAAAGACAATGTCAGAGGTGGGCTCTGTGACACAGTAGGTTCAGTCTCTGCTTGGGATACCTGCATCCCATATTGGAGTCCCTGGCTCAAATTCTGGCTACTCTGTTCTTTTGATCCAGCTTCCTGTTAATATGTGTGTGAGGCAGTGTATGATAGCAGAAGTACTTTGGTTCCTGCGACCTATGCATGAGATCCAGATGGAGTTACTGACCTCTGAGTTTAGCCTGGCCCAGTTTTGGCTGTTCCGGGCATTTGGGTAGTGAATCAGTAGAAGAATGATTTCCCTCTCTGTCTCTCCTTCTTGTTGTAATTCTACTTTCCAAATAAATAAGTAAGTCTTTAAGAAAAAAATCTATTTCAAAAATGTAATGCAGATAGCATAGTAACTGAAACATCTGAAAAAGTAAATGCATAATTTTGAGTAATTTATAGATCAAAATGAAACAAAGTAGAAATTAATTTTTTAAATAAAAAAAAAAAACAAACTATCTTTGAAATTTGAGGGTTGCAATTAAAGGAATAATTGAAAAATGTGGTCAATCCTCATCTATTTTTACCAGAACACTTAAAAGATCTAAAAATAAATGAATAAAGATTTTAATGGAAGATGGCAGAAAAAGAACAACAAAACAAAACACTTCAAGTAGAAGAAAATAGTAATTACTAAAATAAAATGACAAAACAAAAAAGAGCCATAAGTTTTATCAGCAGACACACAAACTTTTTAAAAATAATAATAATAAAACAGACAAAACTCTGTCAAGGGAGAAGAGGTTAGCTATCAGTTAGTCACCATTGTTTGTGACAACCACATCCCATAACAAACGGCCTGGATTTGAGTGTTGGCTATGATTCCAAATCCAGCTTCCTGCTAATGTGCATGCTGGGAGGCAGGAATCTCAAGTACTTAGGTCTCCTCCACTCACATAGGAGCAAATGGAATGAATTCCTAGTTCCCAGCTTCAGCTAGGATCAGCCCTAACCATTGCTGGTATTTGGCAAGTGGACCAGCAGATGAGACCTCTGTCTGGCTCTGGCTCTCTGTCTCTCAAATAAATTAATAAAATTATAAAAATTAGCCCTTTGTCAAGTTTGATTCTATTTTTAAAGACAAAGAATATGTGAATGAATAACATCAGTAATGAAAAATGGGTTTATAATTATTTAGTAAGTCATTATCTAAGATTAAGCAAAAGCTAAAATAACATGATACAATGAATAGCATTTTAAGAAATAATATGAAATCAGTAAATGAAAAAAGTCTAGGTAAATATAAACTAGCAAAGTAGCTCATCAAGAAGAAAATCATAAAAGAATAGTATAAAAAGTAGTTAAATGTCTGCAACAACAAAGATATCAGACCTAAATTTTTCAAAACTGAAGCTCACTGCAATTGCATAAAACAGTTATAATATAAATAAAATAAGTTAGATAATTCTTTATATTATGAATTTAGCAGTGATTGTAGTCTCCAATATAAAAATGCACAAGAAGGTATAAATGTAGGTTAGTCACCCTTACACATATAGAATGTATGTAGGAATTCTAAAAAGCATATTAACATATCATAATCAACAGTTCAGTATCATAATATCATAACTAATGATTTAATATGAAACTGGAAAGGAAAACACAATCTAAAAAAATCACACTAACGCTTCACTTTGTTGAATTATAGTAATCTATCTAAAATAGAAAAATACAGTCAACTGAATAATGTCAATATAGTCTTGAATAGTATCAAAAACTACCCATACAAAAATGCTTCACAAATTTAGCTCTCATAAATGCATATTCTAGAAACTTAAGAACATACAGTACAGTATAAAAAGCAAGTTCTAGAATATCTTATGTTAAATTCAGGAATTTAGAAAATTATCTCTTATTACCAATACCAATGAACAACGTCCTGAAAATTTTAATCACTGCACTGAAGGAGAAAAAAGTAAGAACACAGAGGGTGTAATAGTTGTAAAATGTGAAGTAAAATAGTTTTTTATCTTAATAACAGCAAGACGGAGGATATGATAATTATGTAAACAATCTAAGTTCTAATTATAACAGAGAATTCAACCGTGGCTAAACACATCAACAGAAAAAAATATAGCCACCCATACAGCAATGAGAAATTTTAAATGCAATAATTCGTAAATGTAAACATTTATTATCAAGTGAAGATTTTATTGAAAACACGACTGTAAAATATACAAGGGACATCTGGATGGACATCAATAAATTTACAAACGCTTCACTTTAAAATTACCCAAGTCACCTAGCAATGGAAGCCTCCACTCCTCTTCAGGGTAACACAGCCCTCCAGGGTTGGGTTTACGAATCTTTTTTTTTTTCTTTTTTTATTTTTAATGTTCTCCCAGGCCAATAGCAGTGAGGTGGATCAGAAGAGGAACAGGCGAGAAAAGAACGGGCACAATTATGGGATGCCAGCGCCACAGGCAGAGGCTTAGCCTACTATGCCGCAGCGCAGGCCCCAGGTTTGAGAATCTTTAAGGCGGCATTCAGGCAGCTCTTCCGGTCGGCATAACACCCGCCACCGGAAGCGTCCACTGAAGCGAGGCGGCTCCTCGTGAACAGTCGCAAAAGGCTAGTTTTTAGAGTGGCCCTTGCTTCAGTTTTCGGTAAGAGTTGTGATGTCTGTGGTACTGAATCTGTTTCTCTGAGATTTTGTGTCGCCAACCGTGGTGCCAACCATCTCGCATCATTTATTTCTCAGGAACCCGCCGAGTCAGGGCCTGTACCCTCACTACAGTATGGCTACAGCGGCTGAAGACGATGACCTGGACTTTGTTCCTGTGGTGCCCGGCCAGCAAGATCACGACCAGAGGTGTGTTACTTTGAAGGATGTGTTTGTGTACCTCTCCCATGAAGAATGGAAGCTACTTGATGAGGATCAGAAATGTCTGTACTATGATGTGATGCTAAATATCTTTCTGTATGTGCTTTCATTGAGACTTCCAATTAGCAGGTCCTGTTTGCTTACTCAGCCAGAGCCAGAGAGCCAGCCCAGGCAGCCAGACAGCGCAGATGTAGCTCCGGTTAATGCAAAGACAACCAAGAGAAGGTCTGGCCCTGGTTATTGGTATACAGAGATGGATGAAGATGCGCATTCTGAAGAAGGTGTTTTGGAGAGAATATCTCAGGTGAGAAGTCCTGAGGCAGGCCCTAGCACCCAAGAGACCCAGTCCTGTGACATCTGTGAGCAGATTGTAACGGGAATTCTGCACCTGGCAGAACAGGGAACAACCAGTGGGCTGCAGCCATATATATGTACGTCATGTGGGAGAGACTTATGGTTCAATTTGCAGCAGTGTGGAGAGAAATTCTCCAGAGGAGGAAAGGGCCAGTCCTCATTTGTGAATAGCCTTGCATACCTTGTTTCAGAGAAGGCCTTCACTTCCAGGGAGGATGGGCAGGACTTCTTGGCCAGCTCTGAACTTGTCCAGCACCAGGCCACCCACAATGAGGAAAATCCACACAGGAGCACTGCATGTGTAGAGGCCCAGCAGACTGGACAAGGTCAAAGGTGCAGTGAATGTGGGGAAGTTTTCAGACACAAAGACCAACTTATTCAGCACCAGATAAGCCACACAAGAGAACAACCTTATGAGTGCATTGAATGTGGAAAATCCTTTAGCCGAAGCCAGTACCTTACACTGCACCAGAAAATTCACAGAAGATCAATGCC